GCAGGAATGTTCATGTTCATGATCAGAGAAAAGTGATAAATGCTGACTACATCAGCTCACTTTTCATGCTAAACAGCCTGTAATAGCGTTTTAACAAGGTGAACAACAGCAGCAGCTACACGTGGTGATCCTGCCTTTGGTCTGCTTTCAGCTCTAGGAACCAGGTTATTCCTGTGACCCGTTCCTGTAGCGTTCAGACTTGAATTGTCAGATGAGTAGCGGGAAAGTGGATGGATTCTGACCTGAGAATTAAGTCTGGGAAGGCGCTGAAAACGTGCGGGGCTCCTTGTCTGTGTTAATTAATGCTTGGACTCTTTGGCCCTGGCAGAGCCAGCGTGTGAGGCACAGCAGCCACTCTGCAGAGAACTCTCCCATCGAGCGGCGCGGCCTCATGACCTCAGATGAAAACTACCACAACGAAAGGGCTAAAAAAACGGAAGAGCAGGAACCGCTTGTCTTCCAGTTCCCAACACAGCCGAGATCACTATCCTCTGGTGGAAGAAGAATACTCTGACTCATACCAGGACACTTACAAGCCCCACAGGAACAGAGGGTCCCCTGGAGGATACGGCCACGAGTCACGACACAGGCTTTGAGTTCAAGAACCTGGGGAAAAACCAAGTGTTCATCCCGTTGATAACTTGCCATATAACGTAGCTAGGAAAAACAAACCAACAAACAACAAAAAGGAGTAAATCATCTTAATTTGGCAGGTGTGACCTGGTTCTCCTGACGTTGCACTCTGCTGGCATTTGGTGTTTAGTAGGGGGCAAAAAAAAAAAAGCTGCCATGCCCTTCCATTTCTGCCCAATCATAGAGGTTGGTTTTTGGGTTTATTTCCTTGTTTATTTTCAGTACAGCGTTTGCATTTCTAGCCATACTTTTTTTCTTGTCATTAGGTATTGGGCACATCTGTTTGTAATTTAGGATACTTATCAAGGCACCTATAAAATAATTTCCTCTGCTGGAAATTCCAAATGACCAGTTCCAGTTGGAACCAATATATAAACCAATTCCTGTTGGAATTTGGGTGAATGGACTGGAAAGTCGACTTGAGCATGTTGCAATCAATTGAAAACAAACAAAAACCAAATGAAAAATCTGAAAATTACACACCAGTAGAAGCCAGAAAGTCAGCTACAGTCTTTGTTTGCTGGAAGCTCAATTTACATTTGAAGTTAGAATAAAGGGATTTATTCTAACTATTTACATATTTCCAGAACAGCTTATTCAGACCAACCAAATGTAAACTATTGGGAGTGCAAAATATCACAAATTATTGCAGCAGTTACAGAATACTTTCCAGTTTGAAATTATTTTTAGAGCTGGCATAAATGTTGCAGCAAAAGGGGTTTATTTAGTTTAGCCAGTACTGACATTTTTGTTGTGGTCAGCAGTGATGGACTGTGACAGGATAAGGGGAAATAGAAACTGGAAAGTGAACAAACTGCAGAGTAGTTTGTCTGGTTACGAGTTGAGAATAGTCTGGGTTGTTTTTCCCTCTTGTTTAACCTGAACACAGCTGGTTGTCCCAAAATGGAACTTTAGTGTAGAGATGCATCATGTCTTTCCTCCCATTTTCAGTATTCTGCCTTTTTCAATGGAAAAAACCAATACACTCTTCTTACCCAGTCTGTAGAGTACCCCTAATTCCAGTGCCTCTGGGTACCCACCTACATGTCACATCTTTCAAACCCCATCTTGGAACGTCTGCAAATTCCAGCATCGCACAAGAACTCTCCAGAGGACCAGTTTAAATTTCAGTCCTGAAACCCAAGGGAAGGGAGTGGGGTTAAATACTCGTCAGGGATGAACCCTTCAAGTAAAATATTGCTCAGCATTAGCTTGCAATAAAAGTGGAGCATCAGGAAAAAAGTCTGCTCACAGTAAAGTCGTAGAGCTGACATTTTTGATTCAAATACCACGATAGACGTTTGGAAATGCTGCTGCCTTACTTAGAACAGTCACTTATTTTCACCTCCTGAGTCTTCAGTTCCTTTGAATAGGTAAATTGATGGGATTAGACCTTATGTCTTACTTGATCAGTGAAGCCTTAGATCCAATGTGGTTGAAAAATGTACTATGTATTGACCATGCTTTTGTACAGCCCACTCATGTCTTTCAGCAGAGACTCCTGGGATTCCCCACTGCCTGCAGTTTCTGAACTGCACAGAACTAACCTGAATGTGCATGTTTTTAATGCAGGTTCATGGCAAAACTGGATCTTAAAATGAATTTATTTTTTTTCCAGAAATGAGAATCATTAATTTTGTTTTTACTTCCTTCCCAAAGCCTGCTAAAAGTAGGCTTTAAAAGCATGTAGCACTAAATTCATGGCCTGAATATTACAGTTTCTTCTACTTTCTGGACCAGTTAGTGAAGATCACTGGTACTTCCCACCCCTGTTGAGTCTGGTTTAACTTCTTGATGTTAACAATGAGAGCAAGAATCCCTCTGCTGTCTGGTCCAGCCAAAAATGATATGCATCTCTAGCAGCATTCAAAAACGGTGGGATTATTTTTTTTAAACAACTTCCCTGCCTCAAAGGCAGCCCCCAGCACCTGCTGGGTGATCCACAGGGGCCAGTTACCAAGAAAGAAAAAAATATCTGCATCCATGGGAGTAACAGAGTTAAGAATGGATAGGACAGACCTGGTCCTGCTTGATTTTCTCAGGCTGAATGTCTCCAGATTCCAGATGAGCATTTAGGCTGGGAAAGCACAGCAGGAGCTGATCTGGGAATGGTAGCTCCAGCTGCCTTCTCTACTCTTTCCTGCTATAGCACAGTGGAGCCTTCTCCAGGGATTTTTACAAACCTTTGTTACATGTACAGCACACATACCTGCATGAGAAAGGAGGCATTAGGCAACACATTTTTTTCTATAAGCTTTAATAAGTTTCTTGTTTGTGTGCATTAAAGTATTAATTGCAGAGGATGCACTGAGATGTATAAACCTAGATTAGACAGCTGTTTATCTTTATTCTGTAGTAGCATTAGGGGTCAGATCATTTAACTGCTTGAGGATATCTGCATTTTAATGGTAGGTGGCTGCAAAGCCCCTACATATATTTTCTAGTAAACGAGGTTACTGCTTTATCATTTCCTAGACAAAAATGTCATTTATTTCTGGAGCCTTTTGGAGCCTTGTTTTGAAGTCTTCCATGTCATGCTAGTAAAGGGAAAGATCTCCACAACACGTATGCACAAAATCCATCACCTGCAGCATCTGAAGTGCCAAAACTACTTTCTTTGTTCTACTAAAAACAAGCTTGTGAGGGAAGTCATGTATTGTCTTGAGCAAACACGTTGAATTCTTTATGATGTGGGTTTAAGTTTACTTTACTCTCATGTGTTTACCCTCTCCTGTCCCACTACCCATTCCATTTTAATGTAAGAAACCAGTTATAAGTGATCCAGCAGGTCTCCTTTCCTGCTGTTTTTTTTAATTCTTTGAAGATAGATATATCTTTTAAGTACAAATATACCGAACATGCTAATAGATGATTAGTTTATTCTAGACACAAGCTATGGGAGCTCTTTATTTTATAAATTAAATTATTTTTAGGAAACATGGTAATCAGTAAAAGTTGCAGTGTTGATCAGGACATGTGAACTCCTAGTACTTGTGTTAGAAGCTCAGCAATGCTAGCCAGCTGTAGTGTGACTTATTATGCAATGGCACCATAGAAGATTGTGAAGTTCCTGTATTCCTGGATGAAGAGAAGTAAGACTAATTTTCCAGTCCTCATACTTCTTCTTCTAGTTATTAAAATACTATTAAAGATCAGGGTTCCGTTCCTAAGCTCTGGCTTATACAGAGGATTTTAGAAATGTTTGTAAAACATTGATTTATTTTTTTTTAAAGTTTTGTTGTTGTTGTTACCTGAGTTTTTCATTAGGACACGTTTGGATTAAAGACAATTTAGCCAATAAAGGTGATGATAACAATCTCAGAATCTAAAGACAATATATGTCAATGCTGTGAATGAGTTAACAAAGTACCTAAAAAATCTGGAAGCCACTTTAAAGGTAATGAATTGTCAAGCTTGAAATGTCACATCCTTGGGCAGGTTGTTTAACAGATACACAGATTCTGTTAGTAGCTCCGTAGATGAACATTTATCCCATGGGATGTGCAGCTTCACAGCTGATTATGTTTTCTGACTGAGTCTATTAAGGAATTAGGTTTAAGGGAGTGCAGCTGAAGCTGTTCTGCATCAAACTGTGAACAGGGGGCCAAATCAGAGGTTCATTTTCTAGGCAGGTGGATCTGGCAAGAGTTAGTTTCTCTGCTGGAGGCTGGATGGTGTGATATGGCCTGACCCCTCATCTGATCCTGAAACCAAGCAGCACCCTGGCTTTGTGCTGGGTAGGAGGCAAGTTTCTGCAGCCAGGGCTGTTGCCTCCTGCTGATGGTGCTGTTCCTCAGGTGCTGGGCACTCAGCCTGCCTCAGGTTCCACACCTCCTGGCTGGGAGGGATGGCTGAAGGCAGCGGGCTGGGGCAGAGGGGCTGGGCACCTGCGCACAGGGGGTTGCTGCCCACAGAAGAGCCCAGGTTTGGAAGCTGCTTTCTGAAGTTGGTGTTTGGGGGTTTAATCTTTTGTGCTGCTTGCTTTTAGAGTAGGAGAGGGCAGATGGCAGAAAGCAGGAGAGGTGGCTGTGGGAATAGCAGGAGCAGGGTGTCTCCTCTGGATGCGGCTCCAGTTGGGTTTGACTTCACATCTTCTGAGTTCAATGGGGTCCCCATGGCATGGACTTCTCTGAAACATCCCCGAATCTTGTATCTTTACTGACATTATCATTCCCAAAAGCATACTGCTAATACCTTTGCTTGACTGGAGCAGGGCAGAGCTTCAGTGAGTCATTTCTCCCTTCAGAATGAATTGAGTCATGTCCCTCTGCTGAATTTTGTTCTGCAGCTTCAGTGCTTCTGAAGCCTGGCCTTGGTCCCATGGTTTTCTTCTTGTTGTTTTAAAGCAAAAATAATTTGAGACCACAAATTGAAAGAATCAGGTGCATACTTTGCAAACTACCTTTTATACAAACCTGGTTTTGCTCCTCAAAACGTGTCTTTCAAAGCCAGGTTATATTACCCAGGTTGGTATCGATCCAAGTTGGACACCTGGGGTTCTGCTGCATTTTGTTGCAGTTCCCTCTCATTCCCTCAAGCAGTGCTTCCACAAAGAGTAACCAGAGTGTAAGATGCTGTCATGTAGCCAATGTTAACTCTGGGGAAATTAACTTCCCCCTATCTTTAAAATTATGCCAAAAGAGAGTGTTATGATTTGAAGAGTCATCACTTGAATAACCTCTGATAAATAAGTATTCAGGTCCAATTTATGTTATATATTAAAAAAAAAAAAAAAAGGTATTGAAAAATACAAGGACATTTTAATAATGTTGTAAAATATATGCAGGGAATTAACTTGGAGAAAGAGCTGAAAGTGCTGCTTAGTACTGAAATGAAGATCTCTTTCATTGCTTGTGGAATCCACTTTAAGAAGCCAAGAGAAGTATTGTAATTTAATCCACACTGGGAGAAGGCAGAAATATTTTTTCAATGTTCATGAGAGTGTGTAATCCCTTTATTCCTT